TGATATTGTAACAATATATCAGGAGCCTTGTATTAAATTTTTACACTTTTTGGCCCAACAGATAAAACTTAATTGATATTTATAGAAAAAAAAACTAAAAAAAATTGAAAGCTGTAAATGTCCATAAACAGCTCAAAAAGAGTCAAAATATTTTCAAAATTGTATGGTGTATAGGAAATGCTAATATAAACATTCAGTGAAATTTTCATGTATCTACAGTTATTCGTTTTTGAATTACAACAAAATAAGGAAATCGCTACATGAGAAATCGAGTGAAAATCCAATGTTGTAAAAATTTGAATTTCAAACGCTCATAAAAATTTAATTTGACTTTCTTATAGACATTTTTTTTTTTGATAAAGGTAGATAATCTTATAAGGAATCTTGTGTTAAATTTTCAAATCTTAGATTTAAAAAGAAAAATTTTTACGAATTCTTAACTCAAAATAATTTGCTAATTTTCGTGATTTTTCCATATTTTGTCAATTTTTGAACTTTAAGTGCTTATAAAAAAAAATTGTGACTAAGGATTTTAATATTTTTCATCTGCCTTTGAAACAACATATTAGGAGCCTTCTATTAAATTTTCAAGCTTTCGCAACCAACAAATAAAATTTTATTGATATTTCTAGAAAAAAAACTAAAAAAAAATGAAAAATGAAAATGTCCCTAAACAGTTCAAAATAAATCAAAATATTTTGAAAATTTTATCGTGTATAGAAAATGCAAATATAAACAACCAGTGAAAATTTCATGTATATACGTTCATTTGTTTTAGAGTTACACCAAAAACCAAAATCGATTTTTTGGAAAACCAATTTTGCGTAAAAATTCCCGTTTTTCCTTAATTTTTATGTTGTTTTTCCCGGCGCTTGTGAAAACTACTGGAAAATGTTTACTTTTGACCCCCCAAAGTACCAACTAGATTCACTTTCCTATCAGAAAAGGTACTATTGAAGAAAATCGAAGCACTTTTACTGTCCCAAAACGTGATGACAGACACAAAAATATAAATAAAAATATAAATAAAAAAGGTGGGCAAGTGGGTGTCGCTCTGCTGTACAGTAGGTTACAAGTGGGTCACTGTATAATGGATGGTATTAAATTTGAATTCAATGATATAATATCATTGTATAAGAAAAACGATTCTGAGCGGTGACGGTATGTCAGTCTATGTATAAGACATATTATATACATATCTATGGTATTAAACAAAAATTGACCTATAATAAATTCCAAATTAATCATATCACAATATCCATTAGATACTTATAACAGTTATAACGCGTTATACATCAACAAAAACCGTGATACTGTCATAGATATATAATTGTACACTTTAGAAGTTTCAAGTACCCACGAATAATATTATTCAATCACAACAAAATAACTAAAATCGTAATTCTTGGTTTAAATATGAAATTTTGTCTAAATTTGAAATTAAAATGTCTGTAAAAAATAAGTGTGTTTATATATTTTTTAGATTTTTTGGTTACAGTATGAATTATTTAAGAGAATCTTTGTTTTAAATTTTCAACTCTTAGTTATAAAAACTGAACATTTTATAATTTTTTAATTCCAACGATTGATAATTTTTGAGATTTTGATAAATTTTGTCAAAATTCCAACTTTAAATGCTTATAAAAAAAAATCGTGGATATGTATTTTTAATATTTTTCAACTGATATTGTAACAATATATCAGGAGCCTTGTATTAAATTTTTACACTTTTTGGCCCAACAGATAAAACTTTATTGATATTTATAGAAAAAAAAACTAAAAAAAATTGAAAGCTGTAAATGTCCATAAACAGCTCAAAAAGAGTCAAAATATTTTCAAAATTGTATGGTGTATAGGAAATGCTAATATAAACATTCAGTGAAATTTTCATGTATCTACAGTTATTCGTTTTTGAATTACAACAAAATAAGGAAATCGCTACATGAGAAATCGAGTGAAAATCCAATGTTGTAAAAATTTGAATTTCAAACGCTCATAAAAATTTAATTTGACTTTCCGGTAGAGATTTTTTTATTGATAAAGGTAGATAATCTTATAAGGAATCTTGTGTTTCATTTTCAAATCTTAGATTTAAAAAGAAAAATTTTTACGAATTCTTAACTCAAAATAATTTGCTAATTTTCGTGATTTTTCCATATTTTGTCAATTTTTGAACTTTAAATGCTTATAAAAAAAAATTGTGACTAAGGATTTTTAATATTTTTCATCTGCCTTTGAAACAACATATTAGGAGCCTTCTATTAAATTTTCAAGCTTTCGCAACCAACAAATAAAATTTTATTGATATTTCTAGAAAAAAAACTAAAAAAAATGAAAAATGAAAATGTCCCTAAACAGTTCAAAATAAATCAAAATATTTTGAAAATGTTATCGTGTATAGAAAATGCAAATATAAACAACCAGTGAAAATTTCATGTATCTACGGTCATTTGTTTTAAAGTTACACCAATAACCAAATTCGATTTTTTGGAAAATCGATTTTGCGTAAAAATTCCCGTTTTTCCTTAATTTTTATGTTGTTTTTCCCGGCGCTTGTGAAAACTACTGGAAAATGTTTACTTTTGACCCCCCAAAGTACCAACTAGATTCACTTTCCTATCAGAAAAGGTACTATTGAAGAAAATCGAAGCACTTTTACTGTCCCAAAACGTGATGACAGACACAAAAATATAAATAAAAATATAAATAAAAATATAAATAAAAATATAAATAAAAATATAAAAATATAAAAACATACATCATTGTAAAACCAATACATTCATCGCTCCGCTCAGAATCTAAAATATAAATAAAAAAAGGTGGGCAAGTGGGTGTCGCTCTGCTGTACAGTAGGTTACAAGTGGGTCACTGTATAATGGATGTTATTAAATTTGAATTCAACGATATAATATCATTGTATAAGAAAAACGATTCTGAGCGGAGACGGTATGTCAGTCTATGTATAAGACATATTATATACATATCTATGGTATTAAACAAAAAATTGACCTATAATAGGTACCTATAATAAATTCCAAATTAATCATATCACAATGTCCATTAGGTACTTATAACGCGTTATACATCAACAAAACCGTGATACTATCATAGATATATAATAGTACACTTTAGAAGTTTCAAGTACCCACGAATAATATTATTCAATCACAACAAAATAACTAAAATAGTTATTCTAGGTTTTTTAATATGTAATTTCGTCAAAATTTGAATTTAAAATGTCTGTAAAAAATAACTGTGTTCATATATTTTTTAGATTTTTTGGTTACAGTATGAACTATTTATGAGAACCTTTGTTTTAAATTTGCAATCCTTAGCTATAAAAACTGAACATTTTATAATTTATTAATTTCAATGATTGATAATTTTCGAGATTTTGATAAATTTTGTCAAAATTTGATCTTTAAATGCTTATAAAAAAAAACTGTGCCTATGTATTTTTAATATTTTTCAACTGCTATTGTAACAGTATATCAGGAGCCTTGTATTAAATTTTTACACTTTTTGGCCCAACAGATAAAACTTTATTGATATTTATAGAAAAAAAACTAAAAAAAATTGAAAGCTGTAAATGTCCATAAACAGCTCAAAAAGAGTCAAAATATTTTCAAATTGTATGGTGTATAGAAAATGCTAATTTAAACATTCAGTGAAATTTTCATGTATCTACAGTTATTTGTTTTTGAATTACAACAAACTAAGGAAATCGCTACATGGGAAATCGAGTGAATATTCAATGTTGTAAAAATTTGAATTTCAAACGCTCATAAAAATTTAATTTGACTTTCTTATAGACATTTTTTTTTTTGATAAAGGTAGATAATCTTATAAGGAATCTTGTGTTAAATTTTCAAATCTTAGATTTAAAAAGAAAAATTTTTACGAATTCTTAACTCAAAATAATTTGCTAATTTTCGTGATTTTTCCATATTTTGTCAATTTTTGAACTTTAAGTGCTTATAAAAAAAAATTGTGACTAAGGATTTTTAATATTTTTCATCTGCCTTTGAAACAACATATTAGGAGCCTTCTATTAAATTTTCAAGCTTTCGCAACCAACAAATAAAATTTTATTGATATTTCTAGAAAAAAAACTAAAAAAAAATGAAAAATGAAAATGTCCCTAAACAGTTCAAAATAAATCAAAATATTTTGAAAATTTTATCGTGTATAGAAAATGCAAATATAAACAACCAGTGAAAATTTCATGTATATACGTTCATTTGTTTTAGAGTTACACCAAAAACCAAAATCGATTTTTTGGAAAACCAATTTTGCGTAAAAATTCCCGTTTTTCTTTAATTTTTATGTTGTTTTTCCCGGCGCTTGTGAAAACTACTGGGAAATTTATACTTTTGACCCCCCAAAGTACCAACTAGATTCACTTTCCTATCAGAAAAGCTACTGATGAAGAAAATCCAAGCACTTTTACTGTCCTAAAACGTGATGACAGACACAAAAAAAATAAAAAAATAAAAAAAAAAAAAAAAAAAAAAAATAAAAAAATAAAAAACACACATCATTGTAAAATCAATACATTCATCGTTTCACTCAGAATCTAAAAAAACACACATCATTGTAAAATCAATACATTCATCGTTTCACTCAGAATCTAAAATATAAAAACATACATCATTGTAAAACCAATACATTCATCGCTCCGCTCAGAATCTAAAATTTAAAAATTTAAAATTTAAAAAAAAACACACATCATTGTAAAATCAATACATAAATACATTCATCGTTCCACTCAGAATCTAAAATTAAATTACTTTGTTGACAATAAAATAAAAACTAAGTACGATAGATCTTTTCTGTTTCCAGTTTCCACCAAAATTTCAAGGATAAAATACTCGCATTTACAAAAAAAAGGTTATTTATCTGTGATTGAGGATGTTTCTTGTGTTGACATATAACAGGCAGTCTAAGACTACGTAAGAGTGGTTCGTTGCATTGGCTACAGAGAGGTTGTTCTTCATGTTTTATGATAATATGTATGTGGGTGAGGTTGGTATGACCGATTCTTGTTCTGGTATTGATAATTTCAGAATGTCTAGACTTCTAGAGGCATTGGGCTGAATATACCATTTAGTGATTTTCTTTTTAATCGATTTTAACTTGTTTGTGATTGGTATTTCATCCCAGGATGTTTGCCACATATTGTTAGTGTGCATATTTATACATTTTTTTTTCTTCTTGGTATTTAAGAGTAGTAATGGTTGGGGATGAGGTAGAGGTGATTGCCTCGTTGGCCAGTATATCCACTTTTTCATTTCCGGGGATGCCCGTATGTGAGGGAACCCACATGAATTCGATTGCTTCATGGGTCGATGTGATGATGTTGTGTATTTGGTAAATTTGGTAGATTGGGTATATGTACTTATGTAGTGTATCAGCTGTGTATGTCGCCGCGGGTGGTTTTAGGAAGTGTGATAAAACATTTCGAACGTTATAACCTTTTAATTTTTAATTCGAATGTAATAGAACCTTACGGCTTATTCCTTAGGTGTATACCCTTGCTATTAGTCGGAGTGAATGAAAAAAAAAACTCAATCTAATATTAAATATTAACTGTAGGTATGCAGTCAGTACGGAAATTTCCCGGAAAATTTCAAACAAGTAGGGCTCGTGTGACATATTAATCGTTCTTCGATGACGGGCGTAAAATAATATACATACGCACTATTATTCGCATAATATATAATAATAATAGTGTAATAGTACAAACAACAAAGTCATCCATCCGACGTCAATATAATAATAATAATATCATATTGTAACGAACGCGTCTTTCACTATATTTTTGAACCGTCCGCGAATTATCGACCTTCGATAGTAATTCTGAGAATTCGTTGTATCACGCATTTAAGCTTGTATGTTAGATTAAAAATAGATAGGTACTTTGTGTCTTCGTTACCGTTAAAATAATAGGATGATCCGATGATACTATGATAGTACACGTGCCCAATTCGCCCGGAGAGAAACCGATTTGATATAATATTAAGATAATGAAAATATTAAATGTATCATACGGATATATCACAGACACTTGGTGGGGGACTCGAGGGTACTAATATTTTCTTGAATCTTTACGATTGAAAAAAAATGTATATACGCGCCGTTTTGAGTGTATAACTTTTTAGTTCTGAATTTGAAATTGGTGCGAAATAATACAAAAATCTTATAAAAATGTATTCTCAACCAAAAATACAGTTTGGATTCGAAGCACCCTTAATATCGGGAATATAATTACGGGGTCCATAAAAATATGGAATAAAAAAGAGATTTTACGAATCGTAAAATTTCAGTATAATAATAATGTATACAAATATTGATAAATATTTCAATAATTTGTTTCTTAAACTTAAATTATATACTTAAATAGGCAATATTATTCCGACGTAATTAGATATTATTACTATAGATATGAGTATATGACCCAAGTCCCACACGAATAAATATTAAGTTAATTTAAAAAAAAGGTTGCAATCTATTATAAGGAATATAATATGTAAGGAGTTAATTATTATAGTGATCTTAATGTCATCGATAGGTAAATATGAGGATTTCGGCCTTTGAAATCCATTTTCTAATCGAGTATTAGGTTAGTAAAGAAGATGAAGAGGAGTGGACTTAAATGGCTCCCTTAGGAAATACCAGAAGAAATAGGGCAAGACTCACTTGCAACACTCTTAGCAACAGAATTACAAAACCTAACAAATTTCCTTCATACAGTGAAATAATTAATTTGTTTTGGATGAATAGGAATACCATGTACCTCTAATTCTACCAACAGAAGGCTACAGTTAACAGTGATGAACGATTTCCTAAGTTCAATAAAGATCCCAATACGGCAATAATACGACTTTATACCTAAATCTATAGATATTTCAATATTTGTACCTATTGACTAGTAAGTGTTACTTATTTTTATAATATACTATATATTTAAAGTAAACAATTGTTTAATGAAATGTTTACAAAAATCTATACTAATAAATAAAGGATAAAAATTGATTGTTTGTTCGGGGTAATTTCTGCAGCAGGAACTACGATTTTAAATGTTTTTTTACCATCAGAAAACTACACTATCTCAAGGATCTATAGTCTACATTTGATGTCGATAAGTGGCCCTTGATTTTTTTTTTGCAAATTTGACAACTCTTTAGAGAAATAATAATAACAATAATAAATAATAATACATTTTTGTTTATTATAGGTTTGCTATTGCAGGTTACAAAAAAGAAAATATTTAGTTATTATGATTGAATATAATTTAAGACTTGTATTTTATATTTGGTAAAAACTAAAAACTATTAAAACCATACTGAAGTATTAGATATAACTTCCTACTTTTTTTCGCTAATTTTTGACTTTTATCCCGGCAACCTATAAACATGCACTTCATAAGCATTATTGTGAATCGTGATATTTATTATTTAGATATCCTTTACTTATTTCAATATGAGTGTCTAAAATATTAAAATTTAAAAATTGTCATATACATTGCAGAAAAAATAATAATAATTTATTTGCAACCTAATAACAGACTTGTATAATAGGTATATATGATATTGATATATCATATATCTACAAATTACATACTCCTCCCGAACCTTATAGTCTAGCACTCTAACCAATCGGTCTTGAACCCATGGCCCACTTTGTATTTACTTCAGCCCCACGAACGCTATAATTTTAAGCATTATTGCATGTATTTTGTTGTTAATACATACAAGTTCTTAATTATTTGATACATCTTTTTTATAAGAATGTGGCCTGTGCGATTTTTTAAAAATAATAGGTGACTCACTGTCTAGTGCTTGAAATGGAACATTTTACGAACCACAACACACATAAAACTATAATATGCCTTATGAATTATGACGCAGCTACCCAAAGCCTAAAAATGTTGAATACCTACCTCTGGTCTGGACTCTACTTGCGATAGATACGGATGTACATTGTATAAGTATATACGTACCACGACGACGAAAATTAAATAAAATTATATCATTATATTATATTATATTATATCATTATATTTTTATAACATTATTATAGGTATAGAATCTATACCTATGAATATATTACTATTTTACCGATCGTGTGTCTAATCGATTTCTCGGAATCGCGAGACGCGATTTACGTGACCATCACAATATATATCAGCTATAGTGCAGTGTCCTGACTGCAGCCATGCAGAAATACATAAATAATAGCAAATTATAGCAAAATTTTAATATTGACGTTTTCAAATTGTATTGTTGTCATTATGTACCTGTCAAGGTCGAACAGAACAATTTAAAAGAACTATGACACTTATTTTAGTCCAATTTTCCTCTGCGCATTAGACCAAAAAAAAGTCCTTCTTCTTTCAATCCAAACTTTTTTCAATGACGACCCATACATTTAATCTTTATTTGGTACACGACCCCCTGCTAAAAAAAAATATCAAGTATGCCATAAATAAATAATATTTTCATTATAATCAATTTTATCATTGAATTTTTATAAAATACAATACTGAATAATAAATACCAATAATATACTTACTGATATCCGATGTAAATCGATGTCGCATACATTCTACAATACCTACTAGTTGGACATTATTATCATACAATATAGAGATATCAATTTACGTCTAAAATAATCACAATCGCAATCGCAACAGCAACCCATCAAAAAAATTTCGCCACCCATGGTTTGGGAAACGCTGGGTTAGGTTAACATACACGCAGATTCTAAAGGATACCTAGGATACTTAGGTACTCATACTTATAACGTGGTTTTATTAAACATATTTATAAGTTAACATTTTTACGAAATTGGATATTTTAACAACAGAATGACATTTATAGTTACTTTGTTGTTATTCCAAAAATATATTATTTAATATTTATTCCTATGGACTTGAAACTTTTTGACCTTATGTATGTTATATTTTACTAAAAACAATGCAATTTTAAGTTATTTAGATTCATTTTAAGCTAATTATACGACGAACTTATTCATACCTATCTACAGATTTGTAACGAGTTAAACGTGTTAAGTTATATAGTGTTAATTGTTAATGTTATAATTTATAATACCTAGTTATTGATCATTATAAAATGTATGCGATTTGTTGTTGCCAAAAATAAATTCCACCTATAGACCTATCGTTCCTATTTATTGATAGAAAAAATTACTAATATCAATTAAAATACCCTTAGTATAGTTACTAGTTGGAAGTTAGTAATATTTTTTGACGGACGGACCATCTCCGCTCAAAATCGTTTTTCGTATGGAACGATTTATCATTGAATTCAGACTTATCACATCCATTACAGTGACATATGTCACACCCCCCCCCCATTTTCAAAATATTGAAATTTTATTTTTCTATCTTTTAGTATGCTGTTTGTGACCTACGCACTGACGAGGTAAACTCGAGTACTCCACGCTCACTATACAGCAGAGTGGCTACCTTGGTTTTTTTTTCAAAAAAAGTGATATCGTTATTCCTCTGCTTTGAATTCCGTGTCTATGTACATTGTGTGCGTAGTAGGTACCTATAGGAACCTAATACCTGTGCGAATAAATGAACATATATTATTTAAACAGTAAACATTATATCTCGGAAAATATTAGAACTTATTGAATAATTTTTTTAGTTAATTTGGAATCATAATATAATGACTAATATAATTTTTGAAAAAAATTATGATTGTGTTTGACTATAGTACAGTATATAATAATAATAGCTGATCCCGTGCACTTCGTTGCCCCGTTAAATGTATCAATTCTATATGTCTCAAAGTTTGTTCAATTCGTTATTTAATATTCGGTGTATGCGGTGTTCAAAATTAATCTTAACTTTTCCGTTGCCCCGAATAAAAATTCTGATTCGCAACAGTAATCTACCTGCTATAGATCGCGTACCCTGTGCTGTTTGTACGTAAGTGTATGATTTAACTCTAAAGTATCAAAGTTATACCAAGTTTATCGTTTTTACTTCATTTCGCCTAAGGTGGATTATTATAATCATTTTATACAAAATCCTATCCTAACCTAACCGTACTAAAACCCGATGAAAAAAAAACAAATTTAACCCTTAGTAAATTAACCTATCTTCTTCCCAGACGTCTAATCTACCCACAAACATTAATTTATATATATATATATATATATAACTATATAAATACACGGACTATAACTATACAGACTCTGGAACTACTTATTGGATCTTTTTGTATTTATTATATATATATGATATATGTATACCTATTGACAAAAAATAATGATACAAATCAAAAACATGCCCGATTAACCAATAGCA